AACTTCTCACCGGGATATCGTTTCATAGCAAAGCAATTTTATGGGAATAAAATACCGGGTGCCTGAGAACGGGACTGGGGGAGCGGGAAGGGAAAGCGGCCGGATTTACGGGCGATGCTGACGGCCATCGAAACCCAACCGCCGTAAGGCAGGGAAGGAAGCCTGACCCCCCCGGAGCTGCAAACAGCAAAGTCTCCGGGAGGTGCAGGATCCGGCCGCAGGCTCCCGTCGGGGCTCCCAAGCCGCCCCGGGGGGCGGCCCCGCCGGCCAGGCCGCAGGGTTCTCACCCACGCTGCACCCCCTGGGTGCTCTGGTCCACGGGCGAACCAGCAAAGCCCCCGGGGCCGGCGAGGGGAGGGATGGCGTTAACGAAGGAATCTCCTAATTGCACCTAGCAGCGGACTGTGACGAGCAAACCAGGATTTATTGAGCTGCTCCCGCCACCCAGTCGGAGGAGTTCAATCTCTACATGAAATAAGAAATTATTTTTAAAATCCGCTGTTTATTCTGCTGTGACAGGTCGATCAGTAAGGCAGGCATCTTCACTTCTCTTTTTTTTCCCCCCGATCTAATCAGTTTTAATTGGAAGAATAAATGAGACCTTTCCTTCAAGATAATTATACAAAACATTGAATTAAATTACTATTAGGAATTTTTTTTTCTCACCACCCGTGTCAGGCATCTGCTGTTTTAAATAATCACCCGATTAACATTTGCCGTGCAGCTTTCCCTGCCTATAGCAAGCACACGCGTCCCTTCCAGGGTGGCTGGAAGCCACCGGTTAATAAATCGGAGAAAAAGGACTGTTCTCCCCAAAATGCCTCATCACGTGCACCAGGAGCCAAGGACGCCCTTGCCTGGGCTCTGCAGGATGCTCCTGTGCCCATCACCGAGGCCTCCGGGCTGGCATGGCTCGGCACGGGGCAGCTGGCGCTGCCTTCACCGCGCTGACACTAGCGCGGGTGATATTTTCACGAGCGTTTTGGGATAAACCAGCCCCGAAGCAGGACCCCGGGCCCCGGCAATCCCGGGAGACCCCCGGGCCGCCCCGCAGAGACCCCGCCGGCTCATCGCAGG